TCATTCTTGGTAAAAACAGATAAAATTAATTTTTCATGGTCATGTAACATAGTCCAAACTTAAATGATATTTAAGAGTTCAAGCTGTCCTCTGCTTTTCAATTTATTTTATGGAGCAGAGCTGCTGATGGACATGTATAAAAGAATAAAATAGATGCCATTTTGCCTTGGAAACTCACATTTGGCAGTCTGCAGTGTTTTTTGTCTAGAATAAACATATATAAATTAAAATAATATAAAACTGTCAACAGATTTCTAACTAATGTGCTGACTTGTTCATTTAATGTAAAATTCATTTTGAAAAAACCTCTTAAAAATGATTCATTGTATGTTTATTGAGAAGTGTTTCTTCAATCAATTCTACAAAATTAGTTTAGAATAATCCATTCTTCCTCTTAAATTGAATAATTATGAAACTTATGTGGGCCGACGTTATAAAAGAATGAAATTTTGAGCACAACATGGTAATTCTCCTTTGCACTGCTCTTAAGCTGTGACTTTTCCCTAGGTTTTCAAATTTTCAGATGTATAGAAAATACTTTGCAACAAATGAAGCTTCTATACAATAGTATATAAAGTTTCACTAACATGGTTATGTCTCTTTGGATCATATCCTTAAAAACAATATAGTGTTTTAAAAACACTTATACATTAAGAGGTTTATAAAATTAAAGTAACTCTTCTTATATAGAGTTTCTGTAGAGTACAGTTAACATTCTACTAAGGGGGAAAAAGCACTGGAGAGGTAGTAGAAAAACATAATTTCTATCCTTGAATCTGCCATAATTAGCATTGAGACAGTGGTCATCCCAGTTTCCTCACTCTCCCAAAATGGGAATGAATAATATTTGCTCCATGTAATCAAATTGTTATGAGGATCAGATTAAATAATGTACATAAAGATGCTTTTAAATTCTAAAGCTTTTTTATATAAATGGTAGCTATTATTCTTAAATTAACTTGTGGATGCCCACTGTGATCAATATTACCTTAATGAGATGCACAAAAGTTAATTTAGTAACATCAATGGTCACTCTAAAGAATGAGCCCAGCTAGTTCAGGGTGGATGGTATTTGGGAAATTGGATAGCATTTTCAATTATCTTAAGGAGCTTATTGCTGCAAATATCTTTTAAACACGAATGTTTTCCAGAGGCCCTATGTTGGTGTGAATCAGGGAACATCTGATTCATATAAGCAAAATTTCAGATGACCTAGAGGACACTAGAACAATTCTCATTGCATGTAATTAGGTTGCAGCAATATTAGCAAAGGTGATTGGCACTTTACTGCCCTGAATGTCTAAAAAAAGAATGTGGCTGGTTATAAAGTTTTAGGGAAAGAGGGTGGATGAACAGTCCAATGGTGGCAAAGGTATCCAAAAATAGTAAAAAGAATCAGAGCAAGGTCTCTAGAATGTTTGGTGAATTATCTATACAGGATTCATGGAAAGATATAAATAAAAGAATCATGTAAGATAAAAAGGCATGAATGGATTGTGGTCAGCACCTGTAGAGGGAATACCAGTGGTGAAGAAATGAAAGATATATTCAAGATGTGGTGCAACATTCTTCTCTGTTAACATTTTCCTGAATCCTGATGATTATCCAGTGTATTAGCTATTCTTACCAGCTTTGTGTTATTTGAAAATCTGATAAGATCCCCACCAACATCATTTACAGTATACATACATAAAATCATATAGATATGTAAATATTAAAAAGATCATTAAATGTTTTTTACTTCTCAAAAACTTAGTTCAATTAAAAAGAAGCCTATTTGCAATACATGTATAAAATGCACATGTATACGTGTATATTTCTTTGGATTTTTATGTATGCACACATATACTCATGTGTATACATGCATACACATACATACACATATGTACCTGTATGTGTTGTATATGTATGTATAATACACCACAGGGCCAACCATGGATTCTCAGGATATTCCACTGGAAACCTTCATCTAAGATCCAAGTTGACATTAAATCCTTAATGACTACATTTTGGATCTAGACATTCATTCAGTTCAGAATCCATCCATTGTGCTATTCTCTAGCTTTATTTTTTCTATTTTCCCCCATAATAATAGCCTGAGAGACCATTTAAAATGCTTTCCTAATATCTAAGTAAACCATATCTATATGATTCCCCTAAAACATCAACTAGTGAGCTATATAGTTAGTCTCCCATTACCTGCTCTTCCCTGAATCTGGGTTGGCTCTTTGTAATTACCACTTCCTCTTCTGGATGTTCATTAATTTTTACTTAAAATATTTTACAGTTTTGTTGGGAATCAAAGATACACACAGATGCAAAGGTTTCAGACTGATCATCCCTTTGTTGATTGGAACAATATTTGCTTTTCTCAGATTCTGAAGTAACTCTCCCATTCTTAATGCTCTTTTAAAGCTAATTGCCATTGGCTCAGTAATCACATCTAGCCACTTCAGTCATTTGCCAAGACTCTTAACTTCATTTGGTTCAAATGAATTCAACTCATCAAAGACATCTAAGTGCATTTTTACTATCTCCTTAATTGTCCTGAGTCTTACATCCTTAATAGCCTTATTTGTCCTGTCTTTTCCAGTCCTTTTTCATTGGTGAGAAAACAGAAGGGGCATGAATGGATCAGTGGTTCCTTCCTGTTGTCATTGGTTATCATGGTGCCCTTCACCACAAAGAACAGTTTTAGCCTTTCTTTGATCCTCCCTTTTCTCTCACTGTGGCTGGAAAAAAAACTTTTTGTTTTCCCTAGTTGACCTCACCAGCTTCCACTTTTTGATTGTTAACACTTCTCATACTGTCCCCACACTATGCTAATATCTTCATTTTTCTCTTGCCCTTTCTAAGAGTTTCTGTACTTTAAAAAAAATTATACATGATTGATGATTTATCATTTGCATTTTGCAAATGATGAAACTGAAGCTCAAAGAGGTTAATTACGTGTTAAGGGTCATGAGAACTAATACTTTATCAGCCTTGGAATTGGAACTGAGTTCCTTGAAGGCCAACATTTTTTTTCCCTCTGCACCAGTATAGTGTAGGACAGGTGTGGAGAACCTACAGCCTTGAGGCCAATTGTGACCCTCTAGGTCCTCAAGTGAGGCCCTTTGATGGAATCCAAACTTTACAGAACAAATCCCCTTAATAAATAGATTTGTTCTGTAAAATTTGGACACAGTCAAAAGGCCACACGCAAGGACATAGAGGGCCACATTTGCCCTCAAGACTGCAGGTTCTCCACACCTGTTCTACATCATATTGCCTCTAAAATTAATAAGGTTTTTCTGTATCCCTAAAGTTTTCAATGTTTCCTTCCTTGGGCAACACCATATTTAATCTCTCTTCACCAATAACTACTTCTAGAATGAATAAAATACGGAAAAGAAAATCATTGGAAATATCAGAAATACAGCTTATTCTCAATTAAGCTACTTTAGGGTACATGTCTGAGGTGGGGGAGAGCCTTGGTCCTAATAATCCAAGTTCATTTCTCTATCTTCCATTTTAGTATGAGCTAAAAGAAAGAAATGTATTGGCTCTTTGGGATAATTCTATCATATTATAATAATAAATTCATAAATATTCTAATGGTATAAATGATATTTGTGTTTATTATATTACCATATTTTATAATATTATATAATAAAAATAATCTCTAACCCATGGTTCCTGGCATATAGTAAATGCTGTATAAATGTTAGCCATTATTATTTATTACTATTGTTGTTATATTGAATTTTTAATAGTTAACTTCTGATGATGGCAGACCATCAATACTCAAGGGGAAAATGTTGAATATTTGTGTGGGTCAATGAAATTTCCTATCAAGTAGAAAAATGCATGTATTTCTATGTGTTCCCAATTTGAGAAGTTGAAGAGGGAGGGAATTAACCTGAAATCTCAATAAGGCACCAAGATTATATCTTCTGTTTTCCAAGTAAACAAATGACACTATATATAAGGAAGAGAAACTGAAATAGAAAATTCTACACTCAAAATATATTCAAGAGGTGTTGCATGCCCTTGGGGAAACTACCTATGAGCAATATATTTTATTCAATAAAAAGTCACTCTGCTAAGCATTATTGGAGTCTAGAAATAGTAACATAATGATTTTAAAGCAAAACAAAATGTGAGTTATTTTAAAAAAATTCTTATACAATAAAATGTCAGTTTGATTAGAAGAGTAATTACTAAACAAGATGGATTAAAAGTAGTTTTGTTTAATTTTCATGTGGTATTTACTCTCAGCTTAATCAAATTTTTGGGTGAACTATTAGGGTTTTTCTTTAGTATTATTGATTATGTAATGGAATATAACTCACTGTCTATGTATACAGAGCTAAAGATGAAACCATCCTTTGGAACTGTAACACATGTAATATAGAATAATAGTTCCCAGGTAAGAATTGATGAGACTATTTACACACAGTCCGTCATTTGTAAATATTACAATTGGAGATGACAGCAATCCCATAACCTGAAGGGGATTCAATAACATTCAATTATGGTCCCATGCTTTGGCAAGATAAGAGAATGCAGGAAAGAAAGAAAACATTTTTTAAATGGGTTGTGGAGTTCATTTCATTTATAACATTTTATATGTTCTTGCTGTCACATCTCTTACGTTATAACAATGTTTGACATGAATTCCAATTTAGGGCTTCTGTTCTCCTGCCTAAAGTGACTAGTGCTGAGCAAAAACCTCAGTGAATTTCTGTGCATGGAAAAGTAAAGGGATGTGAGGGACTTGTCACTAGTTCTTGGCTTTTCCCCTCTTTTGTCTTCTCCTGATGACAGATCTGAATAAAGCAGGAATCAAGAAACATCCAGCTCTGACAATTTGTTCCAATAGACCTTGCTCGTGGCCTTGCCAGTGTGTAATTTATCTTTTATGCTTGGTGACAGTTGCAATAAAAGTGATGGAAAACACAAGGGCCAGCATGTTAGCAATATTGAACCTCAAAAGAGGAGAAAGTGGGTGAGGTTACCTCCTGGTTAGCAGCTGTTAGTTCTTCTTCCAGTGCAGAGACTCTTTCTAAAGAAACCCTCAGTCGCTCCCTTACCTAGAAGAAAAACCAAAACATGTGCAGTAATGTGCATTCCATAAGTCTTTAAAGGTGTACAATCCATCATTAACATGTCTGTAAAATGAGTTGGACTAGTTGGCCCCTAAGATCCCTTCTGGTTCTAAACATATGATACTATGATATCTCAAGAGACATAATTTCAGTCTGTGAAACCCTAAATCACTGGAAAATAACACAATAGGATCCCTGTGCCTAAGCCGGTGTCTGAGGAACAGGTTGTCCCATGAAGTTCTTCTAGCTACTCAATATCATGGTCCTCCTTGGATGCAGTCCTAGAATGGTTTGCTCCTATTGAATTGTGACTTGTTATAAAGAGCAGTTTAGCAAGATTCAAGTATGATTTAAGCATGTTCATTTAAATTTAATTAATTAAGGGTGAGTACTAGAAAAAAACTTAAAACTTCTTATTTCTTTGGATGCTTAGCTAACTTCTAGTAGACATTTAGGATCTCTCTCAAAAAAAAAAGACAATATTGTTAATTCAGTGGTGAAGAATGAATGTGGGGAAATTGCTTATTAGTGATATTATTATTATCATTATTGAAGAATAGGCTTTCAAAGTTGCTAAGGAAAGGAAAATCATTTGTCTTCTTATCCTGAGACTCAGGGATGGACTTTCGGGTTCCCAGAAATGGTTGAAGCATGATACGGTGAAAAAGAACTCAATTTGGAGTCAAAAGACTTGAGTTCCAATAATGATTCTGTCATTTACTACCTCGTGACACTGGGGAAATCTTGTAACCTCTCTGGGCTATAATTTCCTAATCTATAAAATGACAGAAAGAAATTCAAAGTTGCCTTGAAGGTCCCTTCTGGTTTCAAATGTTATAATATAGACCAGATAAAGAGATCTGAGAATTATACCTAACACTTGGATACCTCCAAATAGAGCAGTATTCCACATCCCCCAACAAAATGTGGTACTGTTGTCCTCTGGTCCTCACAGCACTTCACACTATTCCTATCCATAGATCATTTTCTAATTTGTATTGTATTTTTCTGTGTATGTGTCACATAGATTCACTGTCAGATTTTAAGTTTAATAGTGCCAAGAACTGAGTCTTGTTTATCTACTTGTTGTATCTATCCTAATGCCATACATCTGGTGCTTAAGAGATGTTTATTGAATGACTGAATGACTAGATGATTCATTATCTCCCAGTGGTGAATGAGTTGAGAAGTCCGAACTGTGGAAGAGTAGATACTGTATAAGAAAATGGATATTTGAATAAAACCATTTTTTTCCAAACATCAAGTAAATGAAGCTCAGAATAAGCTACACTTTCTTTTCCTAATAATAATTTTAATACTTTCTGTAAATTTAATTCTAGCCCAGTGCTATGGGTGTGCTGGCCAATGAAATATCCTGCAAATGTATATCAATGCAGAGATTTTGTTCAAATGGGGCCATAAAAATAGAGGGTATATAATTAACAGAGACAATCCATTCTACATGGAAATGAATAGACAATGTAATTGAAAATTTCCTTTAAGTAAAATTTAACAATTTTAATGTAAGAGGAAATTTTATTTAATGTAAGTAAAATTTTAAGGTAGGAAACAATTGCCTATAACTTTTTGTTTTTCTTCATCAACTAATATCAGTTTTAAATAAATCTCTTAAGTTCAAGGAATTTTTTAAATGTCTTTTATGACCAAGGTATTGTAATAGGAATAAAAAGACTAAAAAAAGACAGTGATTGTCTTCAATGAGATTAACGAGAAGTTTAGCACATGTACAGATAAGTAGATATATGCCATTTTAAGAAACAAGGATAGCACGAACAACTAGAGAAAGGAATGATGGAGGCTTTGGGGAAGGGAAAGTACCTGAGAGGAAATTCACAGGCAGATAAGGATTTTGAGAAATAGAAGTAAGAACAAGGCACATTGCAAAAAAAAAAAAAGTTCATAGATCTAGAGTTTAAAAGAGATTAAGAGGCAACTTAATTTAAAGCCATCATTTACACTTGAGGAAACTGGAGGCCTGGAAGGTTGACTTGACCAAAGTCATAGAGAAATTGGGTAACAGGCTTAAGAACACAAGCCATCGATTAGCTTCGAGGGCCATTACACTTTCCACCATACAACACTGTCTCATCCTTGAGGCAAAGTGAGGTTCTGTTTAACTTTTAAAATGTAATTTAAATTTTTTAACAATACCAACTTAATGAATTTGACAACAATTAATTTTTATGTGAACAGAATCCCACCTTTCCTACAATAAAAATATACCTAGTCATAAAAATGAAAAATAAATGCTAACTTAGAAGAAAATAGCATTTAAAAATGTGTTGTCGTCATTTCATTTACTAAATGTTGTAAATTTCCATTCACCCAGAATCCAATTCAGAACAGTTATGTGACAGACTACAGCACTATAGAAGAATAATAATTCTTCTTTATGATAATCACATTATTCTATAGGTTATAGAGTTATAGATTTAGGGCTGGAAGGGGCCTTCGAGGCCAGTTAGTTGAACTCTCTCATTTTATAGATGAAGTGACTGAGTCCAAAGGAAGCTAAGTAACTTGTCCAATGGTCACACCAACAGTAAGAATCAAAACTGAGATGTGGATTCAGATAATCTGAGACCAAATCCAGCTCTCTGTTCTAAAATCATTAAGAAGCAGATAATTTTCAGGATAATTTTATTTATACAGAGTATTACTTCCTAGAAAATCAGCAACATTAAAGACAGATTGGCACTTGGCAATGTATCTTCCGGAATACTTGTGGTTAGATGCAGAAATGTAGATTGTGTGCTTGTTAATTACAAACCACATCGATTCAATAACTGAGGGTGGTCTTTAGTGACAAGCCCCAGGAAGGACTTGAAGACAAGGAAGGCATGCTTATGAATCAAACAGAAAGCCTGGAAGAGTAGCTAAACATGTGTTCATGACAGAATCAAGCTTGAAAATTTTTGACAGGTTGGAAACATGAATATAACTAGGACAAACATTTAGTAGCATTAAATGTAGAATTCTTCATAGACTAAAAATAAATTACTCAAATACAGGATATTGGAGGCCTGACTAAAAAGCAGGCCATTTGTAAAGGACCATAGGCTTTGGGAGACTGCGAATTTAACATGAACTCATATAATGTCTCATATAATCTAATGGCCAACATAATCTAATTTTTAAGGTGCATTAGTGGAAATAGTGTTAAAATGGTGGGAGAATCATATTTTATTTGGCTTTAGTTCAAACATATCTGAAATATAGTATTCATTCCACGTTTTATAAAGAATGTGGTCAAAGTATCTTGGATCTGTTATTAACCAGTTTTGTGACCTCGAGTAATAGTTTCTTAAAGCCCTGAAATCTAATTAGTAAATTAAGGGGCCTCGCCTAGATGTTCTTTAAGGTTCCTTCCAGCTATTACATTCTTTGCTTCCCTAATTCTGTAATACTATAAAACTTCAGCATTACCGGAGTAGGGCAAGTGAATGATGAATAGTCTTACAAACCATATTGTGTGAGAATGGAGTGAAGGAACTAGAAATGTTTCAGCACAGAGAAAAGGAAATTTAAAAGGAATATTCGGATAGGATACTTAAGATCAAAAAAATATAATGAATCTCTTGTAAAAGAGGCAGTAGACTTTTTTTTTCAGTGATGGGCTAGAGAACAGAACTAGAATCAATGGGCAGAAAATATAGAGGAAGACTTTAAAGACAATCTAAGAAAGATCTTCTAGCCATTAGAACTGTTCCTTAATCAAATGACTTTTTAGTGAGATACTAAGGTTTTTTTTTCTGTCCTGGGAAGTATTTAAGAAGTTATTTTATGAACACCTGTCAAAACACATACACATGCGTTCACACACACACACACACACACACACGCACACACACCCACCACAAAACAAAACCAAAAACAAACCCAAATTAAAAAAAAAATAACTCCCCTCCCAAGTTCTGCTCCCCCCCAAAAAAAAAATCTGACAGAGGATTTGGCTAGACGACTAGTAAGGCTTTAACCAAGTCTGATGACCTCCCATTACTGAAGATGTTGAAAAAGGAAAGTCAAATACTGAACAAATGCAGAAAAGAGGAACAAAAAAGTTCTAATGGCCAATGAGCCACTGAACTCCTGGGGCTTTCTTGAGAATGTCCTTTTCATGTAAAAGGTACATAAAATGAGATATCTTAATGTTTAAGACTGCCAGCATTACTAGTGGAAACTAAATTGATTCAATTAATTCAATTAAAACACTCAAGTTGAAATATTCACGCTGTCTATATATTGTGTAGGTTGATACACACACATATCTTACCCAAGTTAAAAATGGAACTCTTTGCAAGTATCGAAAAATAATGATAGATGCAGAGTTCCTCTCATGAATTTTATAATTTCTAGTTTTATTCAAAACTTAGGAGATAAATGAACATATATGTATACATATCTACTTATTTGAATATACTTATATATATCAAATGACTAAGTTTTTGCATTGTTCTTTCTAAAATGACACCCTCATAAATTCTCCCAATTATTCTCTAATTATTAGCATCTAAGCACATTATATTCTCAGAGTAGAAAGTCTCTGAGGAAAACCTATCTAGCTACATGATGAGATAAAAATGGAATAATATCCCAATAAAATAGAAGACCTATTCATTAATCGCTGCCACATTAAACATAAATGATGATAAAGGTTGTTCTTCAACAAGATAAGCAGGAAGGTCATTTCCAGCCTTATGCTGAATCAACACTATGCACGCCTAAATCGATGCAACAAACTGAAACATTCAGTATGAGTACTTTATTCATATTCAAATAAATCATTCTTAATACATTTAGTTCTTATAGAAGCTCCTGGCTAATTCATGATGTTAATCAATATTATAAACTAAACTTGGATCTAATGTCTGTCCATTTCAGAAGCATAAAAAAACTGGTTCCTAAATATTGATGAGTACAAGAGCAACACTAATGATAATGAATAACAACAGCACTCCATAGTT